CAATTTTCATTTAATGATGATTTATTTAAAATCTGTCTATCAAATCACAAAGATCTATGACTAATTATAAAAATTAAAATCTATCAACAAGTGACATTTTGATATATTTTTACTTCTACCTTCCTCCCTCCCTCCCTACCTCCCTCCCTCTCTTCCTTCCTTCCTTCCTTCCTTCCTTCCTTCCTTCCTTCCTTCCTTCCTTCCTTCCTTCCTTTTTTCTTTTATTTTTACTGCTAGAGACTGAACCCAGGGCCCTACATATGCTAGGCAAGCACTCTACTACTAAACTACATTCCCAGCCCCACCACTACTATGCTTTTTTTTAAAATCATTATTTTTTTAAAATTTTTAATAAGTACATGATTAGAAGAAGCATTTCACTACAGCTTTAACATATTCAGTAACACACTCCAGAGCAAGAGTACATCTCTTTCACAAGTGGGTGCAAGTTTCTAGGTTCATAAAGTAAATAATTCCATATTCACTGACATTTCTCCTTTGTGTTAAAATTACAGCAATTTCAATGTGGTATTAATATGCAATAACTTATTCTCCCTGTTTCGTTATATCTGTGTCCCTGGTGCTTTGTCTATTACAGATACTCAGTGAATGTTTTGGGAATAAGTAAGTTAGTGGATGGAAACCTCAGTGTTATCAAAACTGAATATAATTATGTACCAAATGACTTAAAGGTGCTTCTTATTTATTATATAACAAGAAAGTAAAGACTTTCTTCTCTACACAAGGAACAATGAATCACTATATGGTCAATAATTATGAAATTTTTAATAATTTTTATAATTAACGCAACAGCACCTACTTGTCAGTGATTTTGGTTTGAATCAGCCAGTTGATGAAGTCCCTAGTGGCAAGATTATCGAGAATCGTGTTCATCTCATCAGAGAAGGAACCGTCCGCGTGTCTGCGGCCTAGTTCTTCAACAATGGTGACTTCTTCTGGGAAGCTAAGAAAGTGAGGGTTGAAGTTAACGTTTGGTCATTTTAAAACATGTTTATGGAATGTTGATCAGTGTTGCTAGCGCAGGAGGTTAGAGAGAACTGTCCTGAGGGCCTTGGATGGAACCCCTTATAAAAGCTCATATGAAGTGGGGACTGTTGAAATGTTGAAAGTCAAGAAGCTGGGTCCTGAAACCAGGCATGTATAACTTCATGCCCTTTTCAATATTCCTTGTGCTTTTAAATTTTTTAGTATCTGAGCCAGGTGTGGTGGCACATGCCTTTTATACCAGCCCTTGGGAGGCAGAGGCAGGTGGAACTGTATGAGATCAAGGCTGGCCTGGTTTACACAGCGAGCTCCAGACCAACTGGGGCTACAGGGAGATCCTGTCTCAAAAAAACCTCCAACATAATTTTTTTAGTATCTTGGTAACACAGACACTATTGTTAGGAGTATTAATTTCTCCGAAATTAATTTTTGTTGTATTCAACAAAAATACATAGTACCCTGTAAAACCAGTGATGGTGAAAGCAACCTTGCAACATGCACTAGCAAGGGATTAAAACAATCTAGGACAAATTTTCTTTTTCACCTGTTTGCCTCTGCAGAATTTTGGGTATCCCTTATAGCACTAGAAATATCTTCAAGCTGCACTAATGGTTTTGTACGTGTGATTGTTAGTGCCTTACAAATCAGCCACAATACTTTTCACTCCTTTTCACTTAGATCTCTTTCTCAGCATGTATGTTTTAAATCTGATTTAAAAATCAGAGTCGAACATAAATTTTCTCCCACTTCTATTTCAAATGCAAATCAAAATGGTCACAAGAAAATGAGATTGTTCAGGGGTGTTATGGTTAAGATCTAAGCAAGCAACTAGAGAACTTCGTCTCATTTTTAACTTTGAATATTTTACGGCCATCTATATGACAGCTCCGTAAAAGATGAGCATGGGTGTTCCTGCACATCTGCACCTCGGATGTCATTTCATTAATATCTTATATTCAGTCTTTTTTGTCTTTACATGTTTTAATATTTGTTAACCTAAATATAAGTTGGAAAAATACATAACGATTTAAACTATGACAAGTGTTATTTAAATATTGAAAGGTTTGCAGTTTTCAGCACTATCCTTTTTCTTTAGTTTTCATAGGCTGTCTCTAGTATGAATTTTTTACCGTTTATTGCTAAATGGGGTCTGTCTGGGCAAGTCAATGCCTAATTATAACACAATTATAATGAAGGATGAAAACACAGCCTGTTGGATTCTATTAAGGCTTTTCACCAAAATTTAAATGTTATTTCTCTTTATTAGGAGTTATTTTCTTACTTCTCCAGATTGTACTGTTTCTGTAATCCAAATTCATATAGACATAATTATTCTTCAATTTCTGCATTGAGGAAAAATGTCAGTTAAGAAAGTCTGTACTTACTCTCGCCTTCCTCGGCCTTTCACCAGCCAAGCAATGAATTCCTTGGCCGCTTGGCCCTCCAAATAAGAACTTACATCACTGGTGAAGGTCCCTTCAGCATGCCTCTCAAATTCATCATGACGTTTGGCAATGTTATTCCTGAAAGAAATGTGAAAATTTAGTTGAAGCTCTGTCTCCTTGGCAATGTGCTTCTTACCTATAGCAGAGGGAGGGCACCTCAGGCTCAGTACTCAGTGGAGATGGGGCTTGGCGGTTTGGGAGATGACTAGGGGATTGGATATTTTTGGGAAAAGGTTGATGACATTGAAGGGGGACTAAAATCTTTTCCCTTTCCAGCATGTCATTTCACCTTCCATGCTTTTCTGTATCAATGGTTATTAAAATTACATTTGCTTTTTACTTCATTCTCAATTCATATATGCTAACCACTGTGCTATGCTGCTCACAAGCAGGGTAGGTATGTGCCATTAGCATGGGGTCCAAGTTAGTTAACAGCTTTAGGGAAAGCAAAGGACCACATTGAAATGTTGTCAGAAGAACCACATGATAATGAATTAAAAGGAACTACATCATCTACTCAAAGGAAAGCAGAGAGGAGCCCATCGCAGGCACAGTGTGTGCAGATCATTTGGGGAGAGAGCATCAGCTGCCTTCAGCCCCATGCCATGCATTAGTCACGGAAGGCTTCATCTTAAACATACCTCATATAGCTGAGTTTGAAGATTGCTTAAAGTTAGTTTACCACATTGTGGCATTCTCACTCTAAAGAATGAGGACAATTGTTTTCGGTTTTATAGATTTGTGAATGCTCACATTTCTCATATATCTCACCTATAGCTCTTGGCTGGGGCACCCTTGACCTCCCGTGTCTGCTCTGACCACTGTGGTTATTGTTCCTGCTGCTCCACTCTCTGCTCTCAGGTTGTTTGGCCAACAACTGTAACTGTATTTCTGTTTTAGTCCTCTGTCCCCTGTTCTTACGCCTCCTTCCTCCCCTCTCCTTCTATCGAGACACATCTATGTCCTTTTCCTGATTTTTAGATTTCTTTAGCTACTTTGTATGCTTAACTCCCTTCCCCATGTGGGCCACCCTCCAAAGAAATTGTGAAATTCCACCATCTCTGTGAAACCCTTGTGGATAATTTTCTCTAGTAGCCTAGAAGCAGCAAAGCCCCCAACACTCAAAGAGAATTCAGCATTAAAATGTATGCCTTACGATAGCTTTGTGCTCCTATTTGTCACCTTCTCTATGCTTTGCAGCTAACTAGGCTGTAATTGCAAATGCATATCTTGGATTTTATCTTACAAGAAAAAGAATGCATCTGTCTCCATACCTCACCATGATTAACTTGGCCAAGAGATTATTTTAATATGATCATAGTCATGGGTTTGAACCTCACAAACACATGTTAAAGTTGCAGTAACTTAGAGAAAAGTTGAGTTAGAAGTTAAATTCCTAAGCTGGCAAGTTCTCATAACTCAGTTTCCAATTTTAAGGTAAAATGAATGAGAAGTAATATTACTAACACTATCACTTGGAAAATAATTTAAACTCTATGTCACATGAGAATTTAGGTAAGGAACTTAGAGTGTGAAGTCTGAAACATTCAGTGATATATGAGATACCATCCCCAACCTCAACAGACATCACAGAAGAACAAGCCTATTGATGAGCTTGATAACTGAAGAAAATCAGGAGACTTTTTGGATAGAGTTCATGCATAGTGTACAGTGTTCGGAGCAGGTTTACATGCTTACCTGTTCCTCTTGGTATTCATCAACCACTGCACAAAATCTTGGGCACGGCGGGAGTCCAGGTACTTGCTGTAGTCACTGGTGAATGTTCCCTGGGAATGACGCTTATCTTCATTCATCTGATCAGGATCATCAAGTGGGTCTGTCTGGGAAGCGGAGAATGATCTGGGAAGAACAGTGGTTAGGCAGCATGAGTAATACTCCAAGGGCAAATACCTCAAGAGTAAACATCCCAAGCATAGGCTTATTGAGATGCTCCCTCACTACAAAGTATAAGACACCATTCACCAGTTAAGCTGGTATTACAGCAGGTAGTTTAGAGAGAACTTAGCTTCTCCTGGGAACAATTTTAGTGAATTTGAAGACACTTGTTCTGAATTTTAACAACAGGTTTCTCAACTGACTTCATTGCTTTCTGGAACAAGATTCAATAAAAATTTCCAATGAGTTAACCTATTCATGATTATGCTAATACAACAGAGGGGAGTAGTGACTTGAATATTTTAAAAGACTAAGCATCCCAAATCATTTGTTTAGGCAGCAGATTTGTGCCCTCAACTTTGTTTTGCACATACTAATATAAAATGTAGCTCATTTTCCTAGTTATATGGTTGCTGAAGGCTGAAAAAAGGGACAAAAAAGACCTCTTGCTAATTTTAGACTTCCTAGTGGATAATTCTATATCCGTAATCAATAACTGATTGATATGGTAAGTTTATAGGAAAATATCAATGACACTAATAGTTATAGATACTATTTTTACCTGTCAAATTTTCAAAATGATTAAACATTAGGGAGGATAAAATATTTCTATACTTCTAATGGGAAAGATTATGTATATAACTTTTCGGGAAGGAAAATCAGCAGCATATCTGTGCAAACCCTTTCACTTAAACTCAATCAAACTCTTTGACACAGGAATTCTATTACTGGAAGTCTAGTCTCAGAGAATAGTAAAAATTGTGGGGAAAACAGACATGGAAGGCATCATTTGTAGTACTTTTCCTGGGCAAACTTGAAGACTTAAATGTCTAATGGAAGAGGAATCTTTTAATAAATGTTGTATATTTATGGGATAAAAATATACCTATTATATATTTAATGTGTACTGTGATAATAAAAGAAAACATTAACAATAAAATGCCAGGAGAAAAGCATGATACACAGCCATCTAAGCTGAGAGATATTTATATTTAATATATACAGACAAAGTCCAGGAAAGCTATATCATTTTTATTTATTTTGAATAGTTTTCTTTGGGTGGTAGAAATTTAAGTACATAAACTTTTTGCATATTTTTTACATTTTATGTCATAGACATGTATGACTTAACACTTAGCAAATAATAATGTTATTTTTAAGGGCATAAAAGGGAGCTCGAGTTAGAATTATTAAAACATTGGCTGTGTAGTATATGAGTAATGAATGGACAGTCTTACCTAAAGAAGCCAAAGGACTATAGTTACCTGTTTACATGTTTTTAACCCTTCCCACTCCTTTGATGATGAAATAATATGTACCCTGATCTATACTTTGTCAAAATCTATCTTTATTACCACAATGTGTAAAACATTAGAAACTGTGCAGACCCTCCCTCCCAATCAATACACCCTATTCACCAATCACTGCTCTCACAGACTTTATTCTAACCACAGTGCAAAGCCAGTTAAGAGTTCCAAGGATTAGTACCTGGGTTTCTCCTCTGTGTCTTGAAGGGAACGTTGCCAGCTGCCTTGTACCAGCATTATAAACAGTCCAGCTACAAAGTAAACGCTCTTCATTTTTTCTCCCTGTTAGAACCCAGAGTGGGGTTGTAGGGGAAGAATGGGGGAACAGGCAACGATATTTAAACACGTCAGGCTGAATGAGCTTGATTTTGACTAAGTAAATATTATAAAGGCAAAAAACTAATTCTGTCCATTTTATTCTGCTTATGGTTCCAGTTCCAACTTAATTTCAAACAGTAGAACACACCTTCCTCACTGGAGTTTTGATAAGCAAAAAGGAACACAAAGAATGTGTTTGACTATTAGGCTTTTTCATTAATGTAGGACACTTCTGTTAATGTTCAGAAGGCTCATTTCTAGACTTGAAATAAAAAGGGTCCACAATAAACATTTAAAATACCCTCTGTAGATGATATGCTGCATATGGTTAGCCTGAGTGGCACCTTATCCATAACACCACCCCCTTCACTATCAGTCTGCCTTTCAATTAATCGTCCTTCACTTCCAAGCATTTACATTATACTGCATTTCAACCATCTTAAAGCAGCCTCGGGCTACAACTTGGCATACCAGCTGTCGGTTCAGATGTATTATTCATTTATATTTTAAATAGTGTAACTTGGTCTAGACTTTGTAATTATAAAGCGGCCAACAGATTTGAGGTATTTTAGGGTGCTTTGACCTGTTCTAAATTAAAGGGAAAAAATCATTTTAAAGACAAGTAATTTGCAACAAGAACTAATGCTTCTGGCAATTTGAACAATCAACTAAGAAATTAGAGATTAGTACCATAAAGAAAATCAGTGCTTGTTTCAGAAGTCTCAGAAGTCCCCAGATTGCTCGGTAATTAGACCCAGCCTAGGACATGACATTTTCTGTTAGTGACACTGTAGGTTTATCTTCAGGCTACACCTGATTTCTTGTCTGTGTATCAGAAGTAGATTCCCTATGAAACTGTAAGATGCAGTCCGTTTGATGATGAGTATGGAGATCAACATGAATGTGGGCCAGGATGTCCCTGCAGAGCAAGCTCCTCTGTTTTCTGAACTGAAGCCTCCAGTCCACTATTTTGTCAGAGACTCTTCTCTACCACTTTCCAACTCAAACATTTTATTTTTTGAGAAATGGGGATTTCAATCCAAATTTCATTATGTTTCTCCATAAATAAATCGAATGAATATTTTTAGCAAATGACATTTGGTTTGGAATAAGGATTTTACAAATATTATCATTTTACACCATCAATCTTTTCTTTAGCATCTTAGCCATATTTACTATCTGTGTTTGGCAGTGAAGCACAGTGGCTGGCATACCTGCAGAGGCAATGCTTGGAAATGTTCATTGTAGATTAAATGGTCAATCAGACAAAGCAAAATAATAGAAATTATGCGTTCACCCGTCTTAATCATCAACATTAAATGATTTCTTTGACAGTTTTCTACGCTTCAGTTTAAACAGTTGGCAAACTTAGCAATTTTGCCACATATTTAGGTAATGTCTTCTGATTATACCTCACATTCATAATGTTTATTAAAATTGAAAAGCTAAAGCAAGCACTTCTTTTTAGGATTGTGCCACTTTTGGAAAGTCTCTCGTAAAAGGCCAAACACTGCCAATCCAGTCCTAGATAATTCTTACAACTCAAAGTCATTGAAGACCTTTGTGATGTCTTCTGTCACATTATGTTGGGGCAGACTCAAAGAGAGTGGCATTCTGTGAGAGCTGAGGGAAGTCTAACACAGTCCACAGAGATCTCCCAATAGAATTGATTTTCACTTATCCACTTTTTGAAAGTTAATGAAGCTATGAGATATAATTTATAGAAGTTATTCATGGTTTTAATAACATTGTTGAGAAAGTAAGCATTTATACTATCTTAGCATGAAAACTTTTCTCAGTAAGAAAGGAATTTCCAGCTGCTTTCTTCCTCCTTAGTATAAGAAGAGAGTCTGGTATTTTGAAAAACCAAGGGAAAACACCTCAATCTTCCAGTCAAAAGGAGAATAGTAACGGTAACACCCCCTGTGTAGGAAGCCTTTTAGGAAAAATAATCTTAGACAGAAAAATAGAGATTATATTATATCCCTAAATACATTGGTGGTATACAGTCCATAAATACTTTCAAATCCATTAGCTCCTTTCATCATGAATCCCTATTGTGCATTGAAGAACACCAAACTTAACGTGTACTCCATGGTAGGCCTTTGTGAATTTGATCTTTGCTTTTATGAACTTAGTTTAAAATATTTGATTTATCTTTCTAGAGAGATGCACTAAAATTTCATTCTAGCTATAGCTCCTTTATTCACAACTATTGTTCCTCAACATATAGTAAATATTTAATTGTTAGTTTCTGACCAATACAAAGAACTTCCTGATACTCAAATACTCAATAACATTTTTCTCTGCACCAAGGATGCTCTCTCTTATTTGCAAAGAGATGATCTTATTTACAGGCCTTCATTTTTTTAATGTTTACCAGAAATTTGGACATTTGAAAGATGATATTGAATATCTTCTTTCTGTAAACAAGAGCTTTTAATTGATATGGGAAAATTACTGTTATATTCTCTGTAATGGACACATTTCTAATGAATTCAAAAAGCGCCTTCTGTTCAATGTAGTATGCACATCTATTAAATCCAAGAAAAATATTTATTTGTCAGAGTGTTTACTTATGTGAACATGTTGTTCTCATAACAGCTATGTCTTGTAACAAGTGCACTGGTCTGATTCTTTGTTTTTTTAATCTGATATCCTTGCATTATATTATTTCTCTGAATCATTTGGAGCTTCATTATGGTAAAGTAGGTATATAAGTCTATTTAGAAACAAATTTTCATCTCAGTTGTGCCCTTTATATTACTAGCAATAAAGTAGAAAATGAAATAACACTGTAATTCATAACACTTAAAATACTTAACCGCTTCCATCCCTTCCAAACAAGCTTTACAACTTCACTGCCGCAAGGTGTTTGTCTTACCTTCTGAGACTGCGGTGAGGAGAGCAGGTGCATAGAGAGGGAGGCCTCTTCAGAACTTTGGATGCGCTCTGTGCCCCACACTCTGCACTTCTGCTCCCGAGTGCTGTGCTTTTATATAGTCTCCAGCTCTGCTTAGCCTCACAGATATTACGCTGACAATATAAATTTCTCATCTGTAAATAATGGGTTTTTGTTCAAGTGATTTCATTCGCCCACTCACTTTGCTCATCTGCATCTACGCTGATCCTGGATTGAGACCTCAGAGATCTGTAAATGTTTTATTTACTCTTGTGACTTTCTGGTAGGAAAGGTCAGTTTGGAAATTCACCTACCAACCTTAGTCAGGTGTAAAAATCTCTTAAATTCTCTGAAGTGAATTTTGACATCCAAAGAGCTGGTCTCATCTGGGGGTCTTACAAGCAAATCTCTTGTCGTGCTATTTGGCCATGACAATTTCCTTGAATAACTGATCATTCATTCATCTAAGTGAATAACAAATCATTCACTCACACATAGACACTGAGAACCTGCTCGTCCACATTATGTGGAGTTAATTTGTATTATTTATATAGGGAATTTTAAAATGACAATGAATACCCAATGTGTCCCATATTAATAAGACACAGGATAAAACAAAATGAGCACTAAAGACCCAAAGTGGGTGATGCTAAGAAAATAAGGTCTAGTATTTCTTTTTCATCCTACTGGATTTTAAAAATCTACTTTTACTGATAGGGGGTGGGGTATTCGATTGCAAAGGAAAGAAATGTGAGGAAACCTGCTGATAGATTTTGTGACATTTTCTAACTTTTGACTTGCATAAAGGTCCTTATTAACTATAGTACTCAGCAGATATGATTTTGGTTATTTAAACAGAAAGAAATAGAAAAGCGGAAAATAATCATGATAGAAGGACAGACAGAATGAAACTCCTGTGATCATAAGTAGTTCTTCCTCCTGCTGTCATCAGTAAGCTGGATGACACACTCTCTTTGTGCTTCTGATGCTGATTAGTAAAATGAGAAAGGTGGTTAAGTGGCTCTTTAAGATGAAATCATATTCCATATGACAAGATTATCATAGCATTCCCCAACTAGACCTCAATTTCTAGTCTGTTGACTTCATGGTATAAATGATGGCTTATTTGGAAGCAGATCATTGAGACCACTGGAGTAATATTCCAAATGAATTTAATTCTTCTGCTTGTAGTTAGACTAACTGTTGGATGTGATTTACACGAGGAATGTAGGTGTCAGTTTCCATGTCAATTTAGAAACCTTGCTGAGGGGGTTTGTGCTGTGATGGTTGATGACACAAAGTTTGGAAGCAACATTGCATGAGACTGTATTACAAGTGTAGATTCTCGTACCCCAGACTAGATTTATAAAATTATAATTTGGGTTTTATCAAGGTCTCCAGGAAATCCATGTACATATTAAGCTGAGCAGCACAGCTGTGTAACGTATCAGTCTTACTTCCTTGCTGAATCTGATCCAAGGACTGCTCTTGGCAGAACCAGCAGAGGGAGTGAAAGAGCAAAGAAAGGTGTCAGGTGTCAGGTCTGTGCGCAGTAACACAAACGCAGTGCTGAGCTTCAAGGTGTGGGATGGTTTAACACAGGATTAAATTGTTCTTTCTGACTACAGCCTTCATGAGCATGATAGCTACATTTTTATTAAATGAACTGACAGATCCTCTCTTTTTTTTCTGTTGTCTATTTGAAGTCTTCCTTTCTCCTTCCCTCTTTCCTCCTCTTCATTTTCTTCTCTGTTCATAGACTACAGTCTGTAGCTCATACCTCAGCAGGGAGCTCTACAGATGATGCCTGTGATGCATGAAAGCCCTGAACAGCACCAGCATCTTGGGAAACATGTTCTTTTAGCATCTCACCTCCAAGTACTTCTCTTCTCCCCATCTTAACTGCTTTCTACCTTTTTAGAAGTAACAATCCCAACTTTTCCCAGGAAATTTCTTATAACTCTACCTCCAGTCACTAATACCAATTCTTGGAGATCTGGACACCACGAAGCTAAGCAATATAAGCATGCAGAAACATTCTCGACAGTAAATTTCTCTC